GTACTAATTTATATATACAACGCAAATTCTATGGGAAAACAAACACTTTCACAATAATTGTGGCATTATTTTTAACGAAATCATGGTCCTAAACGGCACTGCTTAAAGCAAACTAAACGAATAGATTTTTGTCTAGAGATACATGTATGCTGTACAAAAAATAAAACACAACAGGGTAAATCCTTCTTTCATCATAAAGTATAAACAAACGAGTCTTAATTTCGCATATTAAAGTCAAAATTAAAACAATGTGCACTACCCGGACCTTAAAACGCAGGGGGACCTTTTCTTATACGGGCCGGACCTTTTCTTATAAAAGGCGGACCTAATATGTTATCGTATTAGGTCCGGCCGGACCTTTAAACGAGACGGACCAAATATTATGCGACACCTCTTTGAGCAATAAGCCCGGCTAAAAACGGTATTCTAACCCGTTAGAAATTTCACAGTTCGCACATATCCCTGTCATAGCTCTGCAGTTCATTGTTGTTACTGTGTGGACCCTAAAATTTAGCTTCTATTAAAGGTTACTTTGTCCAGTAACCTCCTAGGTGCCTGCAATGTCACTCGAACTCGATCCTGTTTGATCGAAAAAATGCGCCAAGATCAAACTGGAAATTACATCCGATGTCTAAATCACGAGTCCTCAACCGACTTTCCGGATTGACAAAAATAACTCAAAATGCTCAACTGTTTTGTTATTTCGGCTTTTTTTTACCTTCAAAACAATTTTTTTTCCTTGTTAAGCAAAATTAGTAAAATAAGGATATAGACCAGGTCCATTGCAACTATTTTAAAGAGTTGATAAAAGTTGAAGGGGTAGGCATGGTAGGGGGGTCCAAATAAGAGATCTGACAAGCGAAAATTAAAATTTTAAAAAAGCAAATTCAAAGAATTGTGGTTCCCAGCTTTCGATGTCTTTCAGTGTCTTTGTGTCTGATATGTCGTTTGTATGCCATATTGTGTCAAATATGAACGCCCTATCATATGTCATTTAGAAGTTATCACTGAAGTTGATTTTTTTTCATTAGGTCAACCGTGAAGGTCAAGGGTTCAGAAATCACAGCATTCTCGGAAATTCTTGTCACAGCCCGGTAATGCACAATCTTTAAGGTCTAGGTCAAAAGATAAAAAATCATAGTGTACATGGGATGGTATTGTCAGAGTCTCTCTGAACGTAACAAAACATGTTTAACATGAAAGCCCTATCTCAGGTCAAACTTCAAGGTCGAGGTCAAAAACCATAATGTACTTACTATTTAGAAAGTTCTTATCACAGGTAATAAACAGGTTGAATATGAAAACCCCATCTCCTCTCGTTCAAAAGATATGACCACGGTTAAAGTTTTTGTGACGCAGAACGGACAGAACTACAGACTGACAGACCGACTGACGAATGAAATTTAATGTCCTCCGCTTTCACGAAAGCAAGGGACATAAAGACCATATATTAAGAAGAAAATTTTTCGAACTTGTAAATCTTATTGGGTAGGGATTTAATTTTTTTGTGGTGCATAATTTTTTTTTAGAATATGCCAATATTACAGGAACAACAAGATGTGATTGTGAAACACTGATGGCGTGTGACAGCCTTTGGCTAACGTTTTTCAAATTCTAATCAAGATCTAAGGTCAAGAGATGAGAAATGTTGTCCAAAACAGCAATTATATCAATCAATATACCTATGAGATGTGAAAGCATAATTTTAAGCAAGTTACCCTAAAAAGTTTATGACCAAGGTAATTTTTCTAATGTGGTCCGAATAAAACTAACGGCAAAATTGTTGATATCCAAGGGAAGGTCTTGTCACAAGGAATGCATTTTCTAATCATGAAAGCCCTATTTCTACTGTTCAAAAGTTATGTCCGTTATCAATTATTTAAAACTCAAATATCAAAGTCCAAAGCATTTTAATATTTATCTCTATAGAAAGGTTTTCAAGTCACAATGAATATACGTGAAGTATAAAAGCCCTTGCATCAACTGTTAAAAAGTTATACATGTAGCAATGGTTAAAGAGTTTGCTAAAGTCTTGTAAAGGTGGGTCAAACTCCAAGGTCAAGAGGTCTCGCCAAATCTTCACAACAAACAAACAAGGTCAAGAAATCTAAAATGTTGACACCAAAGTTTGAATGCTAACCTTTAAAATATTAAGAGCAAGATTAAAGTTTTTTTTTTTAATGTGTCAATCGCCAAGGTCCAGGTAATGGGTCAGGAGAAAACACTAGGAGAGGACCTTATTATAAAAAGAAATTAACAAGTGAAAACACTAGGAGAGGACCTTATTATAAAAAGAAATTAACAAGTGAAAACACTAGGAGAGGACCTTATTATAAAAAGAAATTAACAAGAGAAAACACCAGGAGAGGACCTTATTATAAAAAGAAATTAACAAGTGAAATATAAAAGCTCTAGTACCAACTGTTCAAAAGTAATGGCCGAGTTTTTTTTAATTGGGTCAAACAACAAGGTAAAGTTCAATGGTGAAAATTGCTGGCTTCCAAAGGAAGGACTTGTGACAAGGAATACACCTATGAAAGCCTTACTACGTACTGTTAAAAAGTTATGATCAAGTCTTAAGTTTTTCAAACGTGTGTCGAACACTTAGGTCAAGGTCAAGAATATTTACACTCGTTGAAAGGTCTTGTCACAATGAACAAAGTATGAAGTATTGAAGCCAAAGTGGGTCAAACTTCAAGGTCAAGAGGTCAAGTTTGTTGGTACCTAAATAAAGGCGTTGTCACAAGAAATAACCCATGAAATACGAAGGATATATAACCCTACCTACTCAAAAGTTATGGATAAGGTTAAAGTTTTTTCCGGACAAACAGGGACGAATGGACAAGGTAAAACTATATACTCCCATATTTTTAGGTCACCTGTTTTTGTCCGTCGTCGTCCGTCGTGTGTTAACATTTGAACATTTTCAGCTTCTTCTCTGAAACCACTCAACCAGTTCCAACCAAATTTAGTATACAGCAGTTATGGGTAAAGGGGAACAAAAATTGTGAATTTTATGGTCCCCGCCCCCCTGGGGCCTAAGGGGTGGGGCCAAAACCACCAAAATAATTGCAATCTTTAAAAATCTTCTTCTTTACACCTGGACATCAAGCAGGCAAACTGTTGGCATGAATGTAATGAGCATTGAGTCCTCTACCAAAATTGTGAAATTCATGGCCCCAGGGTCAGGGGTTTTTGTGCCAGGGCGGGGCTATATAGATTATATAGTGAAAATGCATTATTTCTTTGAAAATCTTCTTCCCTGCTCTTTGGTATTAAGTAAACTAACTAAGTACATAGTTATGTTGAGCAAGAGTGCCACTACCAAAATTGTGAATTTTATGGCCCCAGGATCAGGGGTTCTGGTGTTAGGGTGGGGCTCTATTGATCATATTATGAAAATGCATTTATTCTTTGAAAATCTTCTCTGCTTCTGGGTATTAAATGAACTAACTAAACACATAGTTATGTTGAGCAAGAGTGCCACTTCCAAAATTGTGAATTTTATGGCCCCAGGGTCAGGGGTTCTGGTGTTAGGGCGGGGCTCTATTGATCAGATAGTGAAAATGCATTAATTCTTTGAAAATCTTTTACTCTGCTTCTGGGTATTAAATAAACTATTTAAGTTCATAGTTATTTTAAGAAAGGGTGCCTCTTCCAAAATTGTGAATTGTATGGCCCAAGGATCAGGGGTTCTGGTATTAGGGCGGGGCTCTATTGATTATATAGTGAAAATGCAATTATTCTTTGAAAATCTTTTCCTTTGCTCCTGGGTTTTTTATATGCCAATGATACAAGTATATATATTTATGATGAAGAAAGGTGCATCTAGCAAAATGGTTATTTTTTATGCCCCCTGGGTCGGGGGGGGGGGGGGGTCATAGTGTGAAAATAAATTAATGCTTTGAAATCTGCTCTTTAGTATTAATCAACCATTTTATGATAAAATTTGCAAAATTTTGAAATATGTGGCCCCAGGGTCAGTGGTTCCTTTGGGATGAGGTGCACAACTGGTTATAAAGTGGAAGTGCATTTTATCTTTGTTACTCTGATCTACATCTGGGTATTAGGTAAATAGAGTAAGCATGCTAAGTTTATAATTATGATGAGCAATGGTGCCTCTTTCAAAATTGTGAATTTCATGGCCTCTGGTTTAAAACACAAACCAATTTTAATTGTTTGAAAGTTGTTGCACGATACTCAGGTGACCTATAAGGCCCGTGAGCCTCTTGTTTTTTTATATTATTTGGGCATTAAAAATTGAGAAGACAAACACAAGTTAATCACGCAGGCGCATATTTAAGAACCCTCTCCTCCAGCTTTAAATCCTTCTCCCACCCCCTATATCCCCTGTTTTCTAAGCTGAGATACTTCCTAAATCAGTGAAATATAAATAAACTATTTAGTTGATAATTCACATGTATTTTAACTATTTTAAGGGGAAATTCTCATGGGTACAGTTAATTAGCATGATCGGTATTACTCATGATTAGTATATAGCCATACTAAAACATTCATTGCCTGTTTTCGATCGCAGTCATTTGATTCAATTAATTAACAAAACACATGGCAACGCTTTTCGTCTAGCCAAGGCGCCGACAATTTTCACTCTTGCGTATAACTTTTATAGGCTTGCGAGTTCTTCTGTCATAGTTCCAAAGAGTGGTACTTGGTTTATTGACTATCATTGAAATAATTATATTTTTTTCTCCACAGAAACTATGAGGAAATTAAAAATAATAACTCTCTCTCTCTCTCTCATATATTTAAACCAGACCTTTAATGGATTTGCTGTCCTACTACTGTATATTCTGCCTCAGCAATTTTAAAAACGAAAGATTTCGTTGAAATAATACAATTAAAACAATTAACTCACATTTATGCAGCACTGCAAACCTGTATATTTACCATCAGCTCCTCTCCGTCCGCCTACGATAAAATGTTTGATCCTCTCCTCTCGTTACAAATTAACGTGTAATACCTGTAGAATTCATACTTACATTGAAGGATACTCTGTAGCGAGCTGTCGCTCTCATAATCCTCCATTGAAATTTCCTGTCCCATATTGACTTTTATCTATTTATATCCGCAATTTTAAAAGCAATTTTGTGACAGAAATTAAGAGTGTCATGTTCTTTTTCCGTAATTCAAAATCACTGCACAAACGAGTTGTAATGTTTCCTCATTATCCAATTCATGGTAAGTATTCTGGTACATTTGTAACACGAGAACAAACTTATAATTTGGAATTAATTTTGTGAATCGAAATAACATGTTTTTACCGGCGTGTGTAGCATCCAACATATTTAATTTATGTTAAACCTTCTTTCGAAAAGTCTGCGTAATTAATTTCACATGTCAAAGTGCCTCCTCTAATATATATTTTCTGTAATTTCAAACACAACTTTTCTGAGCAGAGACCTCCATTTTATTGGCAGGCATTTTAGCTTCTGTTACCATTCTGGACGGCTGTCCGCGATTAAGCACCATGTTTCTTCACGTGTTTTAATTGTGTACATTTCATCTTTTTTCAAGTTATGAATGAAAGTGAGGCAATAATTTGATTATGAACGACCGACTGAGAAAGATGCTATGCTTCAACACCAGCCACAGAGAGAGATTCCATGCACCCCCTAGAACGCACGTGCGACCGTCAGCTGTTAGCAAGCGCTCGCCTTCTGAGAGTTTGCCACTTAAGAAACAAACAAAAGCTAGCTACCACCACTTAAACCATTCATAAACAATTTCAGTCATTTGTAAGCCTGCAAAATTCCTTGTCTTAAGATCTGTGTACATCTGAGTGTATAATTCTCTTTGCAATTTTCACAAGTTCTTGCTGAATTTAAAATAGAGAATATGGAACATCGATTGGAGTCAATACATGTACATGCATAGATCTATATAACGTAATTACTAGTACTGTAAACTTTCTCTTTACTTTCAATTAAAGTTATACTGGACCCCCGAAATACCAAATATGTTTCAAATCACCATAATTTATAAACATACCTAAATCGACCTTTTACTTAAACCCATCAATATTACCACGTTTACAATACCTGTACATGTATTATGTTGTAGTATGCCTTACTTGTATTGCAATTTGTAACCTTCAATATATTTCTCCGTTTTTGATTGTAAAGTGATCATAACACCCTTGTAAAATTTATATTTTAATGCGATCACTAATTCTATAGTGCGTCCATAGAACACCATCGAACACGCTATACAACTCGAGTTCGAATTTACTCTCTTTTTATATAATTAACAGGCCTGTGGGAATGTTTGAAGCAGTCCCTTTTTATGCCCCAGGATCGATAGATCCCGGGGGTATATTGTTTTTGTCCTGTCTGTCTGTCTGTTTAGCTGGTTCTGTGTCTGTCTGTCGTCAACTCTAACCAAGCCCATAACTTGTTTTGAGTTAGTGGGGATATGGTCTTCCATATTTCACAGGTGTATTCCTTGTGAAAAGATATTTCTTTGGGTACCACCAAATATGACCTTTTGACCTTGGAGTTTGACCTACATATACAAAAAATACCAACCTTTAACCTAGGCCATAAGTTTCAACAGTTTGTGCAAGGACTTTAATTCAGACTTTACATGTGTATTTATTATAACAAGACCTTTCAATGGGTATAAATATTTTTTACTCTTTGACCCTGATCTTATAGTTTGACCCACTTAAAAAAATTATCCTTAGTCATACCTTTCGAACAGTTAGTACAAGGGCTTTTATATTTCACAGGTTCCTTTGGATACCAACAATTTTGACTTTTTGACCTTGACCTTGAAGTTTGATTTGCATTTGAGAAACTTCAACCATCGCAAAAGCTGTCACACTGGGGCATCAGTGTTTCACAAACACATCTTTTTTTTGAAAATTGTTCTTTGATTTACATGTAGTTTATTTACATAAATTTTCAGCTGGAAGCTGCTTCAACCTTTATGTTCCTGTACTACATTTTCAGAATGTAAAGAAATGTACGAAGTAAGGTCGATCCCTTCCTCAGGAAATACATGTAGGCTTTTTTTTTTAGTTTTCAGTTTTCATGGGCAGTTCGTTTTAATTTACTTTTCTTGTCAATTCGTTCTTTTTTATGCCCCGGGATTGAAAGAACCCCGAGGTACCGGTATATTGTTTTTGTCCTGTCTGTCTGTTTGTCTCTCTGTCTGTTGTCAACTTTACCCTAGCCGATAACAATTGAGTGGATGGGGCTATGACTTTCATATTTCACAGGTGTATTCCTTGTGACAAGATCTTTCTTTGGGTACCACCAAATTTGACCTCTTGGCCTTGATCTTGGAGTTTGACCTACTTTTACCAACAACAACAAAATACCGCGCTTTATCATTGGCTATAACTTTTGAACAGTGTGAGGTAGATTTTTCATACTTCACATGTGTATCATTGTGACAAGACCTTTCAGCTGGTATAAATATTTTTGACATTGACCTAAAAGTTTGACCCACTTTTTAAAAACTTTGACCATGGTAATAACTTTTGAACAGTTAGAACTAGGGCTATTTCCTATTTCATAGGTGTATTCCTTGAAACAAGACATTCCTTTGGAGTTTGACATGAATTTGAGAGAATTCAACCCTCACCATAAGCTGCCATTCGGGGGTATCAGTGTTCACAAACACATCTTGTTCTCTCAAGACATGTAAATGAGTCTAACAAGTCAGCTGACGACGTCAAAACGTAGCTCGCAGTGTATAAGGTACGAAATTGAGATAAGTAAGAATAAAAAAAATAACAAGCAAATTCAAAGAATTGTGGTCCCCCGCTTTCGGTGTCTTTGGGGATGAAATGTCATTTTTTATGACATATTGTGTCAAATATGAACGCCCTATCAAATATCATTTAGAAATTATCACAGAAATTAATTTCTTAACATAAAGTCAATCGTGAAGGTCATGTTAAGGGATCAGAAATCATGGCATGCTCGGTAATATCTTGTCACAGGTAAATCACATGTCAAATATGAAAGCCCTTTTTCTTCTCAGTCAAAAGTTATAAGGAACAAGATGTGTTTGTGAAACACTGATGCCCCCGTATGACAACATAGCGAAGAATAAACTTTTCAAATATGCAAATTAAATATATTGAAACCCAAAGTACATGTACATGTAGGGTAGTAACCCAAAATACGATTGTGAAATATGAAAGCCTTAGCACCACCTGTTCAAAAGTTATGACCAAGGATAAGTTTTTGAAAGGTAGGTCAAACTCCAAGGTCAAAGGGTCAAAGTTGTTGGCTTCTTAAGAAAGGTCTTGTCACAAGTATTACAGATATGAAGTATGAAAGCCCTAGCCCTTACTGTTCAAAAGTTATGGCCAAGGTTAAAGTTTTTGAAAAGTAGGTCAAACTCCAAGGTCAAAGGGTCAAAGTTCTTGATATCCAATGAAAGGTCTTGTCAAAAGGATTAAATATTTGAAGTATGGAAGCCCTAACCTCCATTGTAAATAATCCTTTGAGAATTTCAAGAAAAAATTAAATATCACAAAGGCGGCAACAAACGACAAACTGTTTAACAGACTTTTTATTCATTGAAGGAGGATAAGATAAGATGGTTTGTTGTTGAGAGGATAATGGAAAGAAATAATTATCACCCGTATGTTTACCAAACTCCCTAAAAATCATGCTTTTTTTATTTTCAATTAAATCAAAATACTTCAAACTATTTGTAATTAGTCTCTTGCTTTTCCTTGGTTTTCCGCACTTTTTTTCCAAACGCAACTGATTTAAAATATCTGAGTCTATCCCGATAAGTTAATATCAAGTTTCGTTCCGCTTCAAGGATTTTGTTAGGAATAACGAGCTTTTTCTTAAGCTTAAGTCAAAATCTTTAAGTTTTAGAAGTCTAGTGTAGACTAAACCTCGAATATTCTTTTTATTTTGCTTAATGAAAGTATTGAATTCAATAACTAATGAACAATTTACAGGCGACTGAAAATTTGACTTAAGGTATAAGTCTGTTTCATGATCTTAAGACAGGATTATACTTGCCGCTGGGAGACTGGCATTGCTAGGTCATACTCCTAGAATGCTTTTTGGAGGGAAAAACAACAAAACGTCAAAGTCGGATTGTACGTTTTATTTTGAATTTTCGACAACAGTTCCATGTTACAACAAAACATTTTTAATCTACTCTTAAACGAAGATTATCACAAAAAATACCATAGCAAGAGCGTAATAAATAAACAGACATAGATAATAGTCATAAGAAATAAACATTAACAAGAATAGATATGGGTTACCCCATATCCAAAGATATTCGACTGTTAGATTTAATATGTTTAACACAGTGTTTATAATGACGTTAATAAAAAAAACTGCACTGTCTAATTATGGAACTGTTGTAAATATCGTGATTCCATAGCATTACGGTCACCCAGTCTCCTAACAAACAGTACACATAGGCCTACATGTACCTGTAGCCTTGGTCTACACACGTGCAATGGAGCTGTCACACGCATCCAGCGAGCTCGGAGAAACACGTTTTGTTTTGCCGAGAAGTTACGGTGTCAGACAAAACTTTTCTTTTCTTAATTAGATCATATAAATACGAATTCTGATTAATAAAAATTATACAATCCCTGTTGAACTTTATATAGTTTGTTCTAACATTTGCATCTGCAACAACTTGTGTTTAAAATGGCCGGGTTGGGAAAATCAGGACCGGGTCGGAAAATTCTAAACTGAAAACATGGAAAACCTTTTTTGTTTTGAAAATAACTGAAATATACTAATATATTTGTCGCAGAAATTACTTACATTATTCAAGTTCTATATATAATGGTATGCTGAACTTCAACACGAACCCGAATCTCCAACCCATGCAGTTCTCGTTTTGCCACACATACCCTACAGTTTACAAAGTGTACACACGAGCAGGCCAGGGATTGAAAATTCCGTCATTTAATAATACACACACACAGAATGATTAATTTTTTCTTTAAGAACAAATTGTATGATAATTAACGGACTATAAACATGTACTTAATACAATTGTTGATATAGTATTATCAATTCATTGGTGAAAAGATATGAATCGAAGAATGACCTAATTATTCTCTGTTATCAAACACGTAAAAAAAAAGGCTGAGGAGGGAGCGAGCGTAGGAATATTGATATTTTTTATTTGCATTTCGGGGGGAAAGTGACTTTCTAATGATATTTTGACGTTATTTTTGATTTCTTTAACGTATGACATACACAACTTTACTCTTATCGTGAACAATAATGTTGTATCTACTTATCATGATGGAATTATTTTGGTCGGACCAATATGTGTGAGCTGCCGCTGAATACAGTTATATATCTTGCAAAGATAGTATGCATTGATCGAATATATAGAAAAGATATTGCATGTAGTTGATGGAACATTGAACATTTTCACCCCCCCCCCCCAAAAAAAAATAATTGTCAACCTCGGCTGCTACTCGCTTGAAATGGTTTTATTTGCATGAAAATTTTCTATGTAAACCTCAAACTTACATGCTGTATTTATCATATTGTACTGATAATTTTAAGCAAATAAATATACAACTGAACCTAATCAGAAATATTAAAATCGTGAAAAAGCCTGGAAAACGTCAGATATATCGGTCTAAACTGAACCGTGTGCGCATAAATTCTGCGCAGCAGTCTATTGACCTGTCATCAAGAAATATACAGTTGTTGACTGGGGTAGAGGGAAACAGTCAATCTGTAGGACCGGAGTATCAAATAAAGTTTATGTATTTTCATCTACAAATTTGTAGATAATTGTGAACGAATACTACTGTTAGCGAATTCTCTTCTTCCCTTTGAGATTAGTCTTGAAGTTTGGAGCGAAAAAAAGAAATAGATTAAAGGGTTTACGCTGTTGTTAAAAAGGAGAAAGAAATCAAACAATTGTTGAAATGCAATAGAGGACAGGCCTCCCGTGTTTGTGTAATATAAAGCATCAAGTATTGTATAAATAAAGGGATATGAAATGGACAAAAAATAAAATATCAATATCACGAACAAAATAGCAGACATTGAACGGACAAGGCGAAGTCTATGTTCTCTTTCTGCTAGAGGCAGCCTATGCATACAATAGATTTTTCTAACATGAAAGTAAAGTATCATGAAGAACGGAAGACCCCCAATATATAGCGCAAAAACTAATTCGCACCAGTTTTTCATACTTTCAGATAAGATATTGTTGATACTTAATATCGCTTGAAGACTGTATATCCCGGTTATAGCAAAAGAAAATATCCATATAGTTTGAGAAAGCTTTATGATTTTTCTGCACCCCACTTTAAGACTCTTAAGCGGCCATGCAATGAAAATGTACCGAACGTAGGATATCAGTACCATATGGAAATTTGCAGAATGTAAAAATAGAAAAATGAAAACATAAACCATAGATTGTCGTGAAGGGTTATCAAAATAGGAGCTTACTGGTTCTGGTAAGATCATGATATAACGGGACATTAAAGCAAACAGATCAGAGAGGGATAGACAGGCGATTGCGGTATAAGTTGGTGTGTGAAGCCTTTGCAAATAGATGATAACCAATAAAGTAATGATGTTTCCAACAAATCCAATGCCAAAAGTTACTGTTCCTAGGATAAAAATGTACTTTCTCCAATGATAATCAGTCGATAATGATGTGTCCATGCATTGAAAGTCAAATCCAAGAGAGGCATTACTTACAGGGCCGGTGTCCAGTGTATGGTTCCACGAGTTCTGGCTTTTGGACGTTATATTCGTATTGCAAACCATACTTGTGTTCAGACAGCTTGATATTTTTCAGTCGGAAATAACTCTTCAAGCTTAAAATAGAAAAATACATAAATCCAGACATAAAACAAATAATTAAAAACATCAGACATATTTTTTGAAAGGTTAATTCTTAACTGAAACATTTGTCAATTTTTAAAATGGAGTTTACATATAGAACTATATATAACAGTAAAAATTATTTAAACACTTAGTTCACATTTATATGTATGTGTAATGAAAAAACCACTTCTTGAAAGGGCGATAGATTAGGTCCAGAAAATTATAGACCAGTTAGTATACTTAGCATTGTCTCTAAAATCCTTGAAAAAGCTGTATACACACAGCAAGAACATTATTTGACTGTAAACAATATTTTATATGAATTACAATCTGGCTGTAGGTGTTCAATTTCCACAGATAGCTGTCTTATACATTTAACAGACTACATTGAAGGTAAAACAGCAAAAGGTCTTTTTACAGGAATGGTTTTACTTGATCTACAAAAAGCATTTGATACAGTTGATCATGATATTTTGTGTGAGAAACTTAGTTCTATTGGTATTAAATCAATCGAATGGTTCAGATCATATTTGTGCAACAGGAAACAACTTGTAAATGTTAACAATACAAATTCTACATTATGTGATGTATCATGCGGAGTACCTCAAGGTAGTTTGCTTGGGCCTCTTTTATTTTTAATGTATGTCAATGACTTACAGACTTGTATAGATCATGAATGTTAAGTACTTTTATATGCTGATGTTACTGCTATACCTTTTTCCCACAAAGATCCAGATGTTATTTCTAAAAAAAAAACTCTCTTGTATGTTAGAATGCTGTCAAGATTTGTTAGTTGATAATAAATTGTCTCTCCATTTGGGTAAAACTGAGAGCATATTATTTGGTCCTCGACGAAAACTTGGCACATTTAATCTAGAATCTTTTTCACTATTTTGCAATGTAATCAGAATTGAAACAAAAACATGTGTGAAGTATTTGGGTGAATTTTTAGACAACGTACTCTCTGGTGAAAAAAAGTGTTGAAAATATAATCAACAAGACAAATCAGCGACTGAAATTTCTTTTTAGATATAAAGACTGTTTATCTTTTTTGTCAAGTAAATATTTATGTACAGCTTTAATCCAGTGTCATTTTGACTATGCTTGCTCTTGTTGGTATGAAGGTTTGACAAAAGATATGAAAAATAGACTACATAATGCTCAAAACAATGTAATCAGGTTTATACTCAATTGCCATCAAAGGAAGAGACTTTGGGATATGGAGACCGGTCCTTCGAATGAGACCGTATAAATCGAGGTCCCGTGTCGCAGAAGGTGCTGACACAAGAAAAATCTCTCCTTGCTCAATGGCCCTGAGTGCCGAGTATAGGACAAAATTTGCAGCCCTCCACCGGCAAGTGGTGGCATCTCCATATGAGTAAAAAATTCTCGAGAGGGACGTTAAACAATATACATGTACAATCAATCAATTAATAAACAGATATTACCGAATAAAAAAAGCATAATCAACTAGAGATACTGTGAGCAATGAGCTCACTAAATTATACCCGCCTCCCATATGAATATAATGCATTGACAGTGTACATGGTTTGCTACTGGAAACCCAAAGTCTCGATATTGTTTTACGGTAACGTGTTACTCGTGGTGTTTCGTGTTATTCAGAAGCCACCACTCCTTACATCATGGGTAATATTATAATGGTAGTATCAATGTTTTGCTATTGGAAACCCAAATTATGTGTCGGATCAAAAAAGTAAATCAAAATCAAAAAGTAAAATAGGACGTACACAATTAATGGCATTATGTAATAAAGATTCTCTGAAAGTCTCATCAAATTTCATTCAGCGGTATAAGAGGAGTTGCGGATAAGAGATGGGTACCCCAAAGCGTAACAGACGGACGGGCGTACCCAAGAGCGTAACAGACGGACGAACACCCCGATTACTCTATACTAGTGCCCTCCCGCTTTTCAATAATAAACTAACTGCACCCAGCAAATCGATACATATACAACAATGTACAACAAAAGGAAACTCACATCAATTCAAGAAGGCACAACCTTTGAGGATACCAGCATTGAACGGTATACCGACTTTGGGGATGCCTATGCTTTATATAGCATGTTTTACCATTCCTAAGAACTGTCGGGGATGGACATGAAAACCATTAGGTGATTTTCCGCCACCTACATAATCTTCAAAGGGCAGTATGATCATTTAAAATCAACTGACCATAATGATGACATAACGCATCTCATTTACTGTAATAGAAACCGCGATTGTCCCTGATCTATTACATATACATGTACATGTAGTTTGTACTGTCACGTTTTAGTGCACAAATAGAAAAAGTTTTACAGTAACTTCATACACAAAACTTTATAGTACATGCAATACAAACTAAAATAGCATTGATGTTGATTGTTGAAGCATCCTCAGTTAATGTACAGATCATTAAAATGCATATTTAGGCCTACCCCATCAGTAAACTTTAAACAAGAATATATCTAACTTTTAAACGTAAGCAAATACATGCTCCGATTGCGTATAGGTAGAAATTTATAGAAACTAACGCTGTTGCGATTTTAAACAATAATGCCATGAAATGTAAACGGCATACAAGTCTTCTTAACAAAAACCAGAAGTCTCTGATGAGACTGTAGCTCTACTGGTCTGTACATATAACAAAACAAAAGTAGCGCTTTGATTTGAAACTTTGCAACAAGTAGCAATAAATAGAATTATTTATCTAAGTGTACTCTTCTCATGTGCCAATTTATATTTAAACTAGAGGTACTGTGAGCAATGAGATCACTGAATGATACCTCCCGCCTCCCATATGAATATAATGGCAGTGTCCATGTTTTGCTATGGAAACCCCAAATTCTGTGTCCGATCAAAAAGTAAAATAGGAGCTAGGTGTACAATGGCAATATCAATAAAGATACTGTGAAAGTTTCATCAAATTTCATTCACTGGTATGAGAGGAGTTGCGGATAAGAGATGGGTACCCCAAAGCGTAACAGACGGACGTACAGACAGCTACGCAGCATTAAGGCTGAAAAAAGGAGGCGGGGCCTAATTTATATGGGAAAAGTTTACTGTGACGTCACACAAAAAAATGACTTTCATGTATTCCTCATAATATCAGAAAATGAAATAATTTGCAACTTTAAATTGTATTAGCATAATAAACAACAATAAAACTTACCAATGCATTTTAAAAAGTTGTTAGTCAAATACCATACAGCACATGTAACACGTCATTTTAACATAACTAAGTCATAGTAAGCCTTAACGACGTTCGATCCTGATATTTTAAGTCTTCAACTTTTTTTGCCAAGTATATTTTTAGTTTCTACATACATAGCTTAATTAAAATTCAAATCAAAAAATGGGGGTCAATACGCTTCTTTTGGCGCTTCAGTACATTTAATATGACCTTTTTGCACTGAAATCTGTGTCTTAATTAAAAGTTATATTTTTGACGTTTTCCCTCCAATATTTTTATCCATTTAAAGCATGAAACAAAATGAACTCTAAGTTTGTTTTTAAAAAAATACACTTAAAAATTGTGACTAAGAAAAAGTTTTAAATTGCTTCGCATAATCAATTATTTGACCTTTCTGCACTAATAAAAAAATATTTTCTGGTATTGAAAATTTAATAAGCAAGAGAATTATTTTAAAGGTTTAAACTTTTTCTGATTTTAAGCAAATAGGCCACATTTATCTCTAATATTTAGAAAAGAACTTCAAAAGCGGGGGTATATGATGTAAATTTTCAGATATTGCTAAAAAAAGTGTCAATTTTACGCCAAAATTGGCTCAATTTTTTCCCGGATTTTCAGAATATATTTACTATATTTGTCACACTTTGTTTATAGAATTCATAAAAATAATTTAATAGATATTTCAGAACCACCATAACACATTTAACTGCAAAAAACAGCTTTTTGTGCAACCAGGATGGAAAAATAGGAATCCAAAATTAACAGTATAGTCTGTTATATTTCAAAATGGAAAAACTGATCATTTTCGTCTAAAAAACCTTCCGCCACAAAATATAGTACCTATCTTAATTCTACTTGAATGGAATTTAATCTCTGTTTTTTTCATTGAATATAGTTAAATTTGCACTGTAAAATTCAGATTTGATGTTAGAACTTAAAAATGATGCAGAATTTTATAAATAAAGGACCTGACCAAATTACGCTCAAAATCTCAGGATCGAACGTCCTTAACAGCGCTGCGTAGACGGACGGACATAACGATTACAATATACCCTCCCGCTTTTCAAGCGGGGATATAATCAGACCAGAATTGTCGAAGGAGTAGCGTTTTTAAGGAATTTCTTAAGAAAATTCGATTTTTAGTAACCATAGCAACATCGTTCATCGAAATCAAAAACTAATGCACTAAACTACTAGTATGTATCTTAGTGTAATCTACTTGTGTGAAAAAATAGCTTGAAATCAGACCAAAACTGTAGGAGGTGTAGCATTTTAAAGGAATTTTTAGGAAAATTCTATTTTAGTAACCATGGCAACATCGCTCATCGAAATCAAAAACCGATGCACTAAACTATGGAAAGCCAACCTAAACGGGTTCAAAATTCCAACTCTGTAATTCTTAAAATGTACACATGTAAATCTGAATTTGTAAATTGCAAATCATAATTTCATGATTTGTCAATTGTTCTATCACATTTTGTTATTTGTGAATTATCCAGCATAACATGTTAATGCAAGTTATGTCAATGATCAAATGTAGATGACCAACGATGTAATTCGTAGACTTGCGATTTGTCAATTTGTGAAATGTAAATTGTGCTTTCGTGATATGTAAATTATGCAAGGTTGCATTATGCTAACGCCTATTAAGACGAAAGGGGACACTATTATGGTTTAATTTCCCCAATTCGTTCTACCATTAAAAAAAATGGTTTAATTTGTCTATTAAATTGAATTGTACTTATTGATTGTTTTACTGTAAATCCTCTCCAACACCCGTATACATATGTACATGGAAATTTTCGCCCGTTTTATTTTTCACCACTTTCGCCTTAACCTTATTTTGGCGTATTTAAAACGGGGCAAATTCAAAGAATACAGTAAAACAATCAATTGATAACCTTGACCCTCCTGAAATGACTTCTCGTTGTGTAAGTTATGGACCTCTCGTAGATTAGAGTGTAGAAGTGTCATATAAATATTTTAAACAGTTTTTATCAACGAGAAATGTCCATTACCCAGCCCCCCCCCCCCCCAAGAAAAATAGGTATTTTGCGTTTGGATGACTTTTTAAGTGGACAGGGGTGGGTGGGTGGGTGTCTTCCTCTTTACACCCTTCATTGAGTTTTTATATATTAATCAGATGATTCTATGGAGCGTAACACATCCCAGAAGTTTTAAAGCATTTTTGTTGGTTTTCATGGGCACATATATAGTTTATTCCATGCATCCCTATTCAGACAAAATGTTAAGATAAAAGGCTTCCATGCTTTGGGCACAACGATCATACAATAAAAACAGAACATGGGGAAAAATCTAGTCTTCATGTATGTAGCATCGTTTTTGAAAAGGTCACCCGGAAAAAAAAGACACTTTTATCTGAAAAAAATCTGAAAAAGTGGGGATGGGGGCTAGTGGCATGGTTCTTACTTTTTCACAATACAATTTTTCGATTCATTATTATGGGTTTTTGTACTAAATTACAGTAAAACATTATGTTCGGGAAAAACGGGAAGGGGGAGCCTCCCTCGGATACTACGTGAATGGTCTTTACTTGACAAAACTGAAAAAGCTTTCGGGTCCTATTCCGTCACCTCTCCATCCGCGGATATAGAGGTTTGGGAGTCCACCCCCCCCCCGGGAATGTGCAGCAGAGATGTTAAATGTATATACTGAAGCAAATAAAAAAAGACACCCCCCCCCCACCATAACCACCAACACGAAATAGGTGGGTTTTTGGGGAGGGGGGCTGTCGAAGAATTTCTGGTTTGGAATATTTTGACTGGGGTGGACCCCGCGCCCTTTGGAAAAAAATCTGAGATTCGCGTCTGCCCTCTGTTTACAAGATACAATATATTTATTTACCAATCAAGGGCCCCGAAGGACATTTCATTATATATAAATGTATAATTTAGACATTTTTTTGTATACATGTATACAAAGAGAAAAACTTTGTGTGTTTAGATCCAGGAATATCCCATTCTTTTTCTGTATAAAACTTATTTGTAAACAGGCTAAGAGGCCATTTGAAGGCCTAATATGCACGCATACTACAAAACTCAGTTTTTGGTTTTTTTTTTAGCGAAATAACTTGCCCCCTTTCGTCTTAAGGTCAGACGAGACGTTCCTCAGAATTTGTTTTGTATATTTTCGTAATGTATGAAAAATATTCAAAATTTTAATAACATTCTGATTTCTAAACCAGTTTCTTAACGTTTTTAAAAAATCCAAACACTTAAATATTTGAAATTAGAAAATTAATTTTCTTCCCCAAAGGATTGTATAAGAAAAACTACCGCTGATATCTTGCAGAAATGCGTGGTAAGGTACCTCAATTTTTTGTGAGTAAACATGTTTAAGTAGCAATACTTCAATGACAAACTCTTAGAAAAAATTATCTATTATTACGGAACGTCTCATCTGTCCTTAATAGGCGTTAGCATAATGCTAGTAACAATCTTTTTAACCACCTGTTCATGCTTGAAGAATTGGTCACAGTCCCATTACTATTATGGGATGATAGAGATTTGCCTGTATCAACTAAGGTACATTTTCAATACAAATTAAGCCCGATATTTTTCGAAAATATGAAAGTGATATGAGAAATCAAAGTTCATTCTTTCTTAATCATAAGAATCCCTTGCAGTAAGAATATGCAAGTCGTTTTCTCATATGACATCCTTAATGCTGATTGCGACGTCATTAACTTGTGCATTTTCCCGTATTTTCTTAAAAAGTTGCAGAAGACATCAATTTTCAGTAGAATTTTCTTTAAGAAAACATACTCTGCCACCGTCGCCCGGAAAGATTTTGAGATATGTGATTTTTCATAGCAGTTTACATAATATATCCAAAAATTAAAGTGGG